CTACTGCGTGCCCCAGAACCCCGGGGGCCTCCCCTCGCCCGAGGGCGACTACGACTACGACCAGGACGACTACGAGGACGGCGCCATCACCTCGGGCAGCAGCGTCACCTTCTCCAACTCCTGCAGCAGCCAGTGGTCCCCAGACTACCGGTGCTCCGTGGGGACCTACAACAGCTCCGGGGCCTACCGCTTTAGCTCTGAGGGGGCGCAGTCCTCGGTGAGTACCCCGTCCCCTGGGGGCCCCCGCACTCAGAGGGGGGCCGTCCTGTCCACGCCCCTGTTGCACCGTCACTTGGTGGAAGAGGCCCTCGCAGGCCAGGCCAGGCTTTCAAAGGCAGGCTCTTAAAGATGCTCTCGAACCCCTTCCTCGTCCTAAAAGCAGTCGGATTAGTAAACGGAGCTTGGATGGGTCCGTGGTAGGTTAGACACAAAGCCCAGAGCTGCATTTTGTGCAAAGCCTAAGAAAGCCGGCGTGGTCAGTGGAGACTGGCCGTGCCTGTCGCTCCTTTGCAGCCGGCTGGGGAGTGCGGCCCCCTGATCGGAGAACTTCCCTTACAGGAGCTTCACGGTCCACACCTGGGGATGTTCCAGCTGGCTCTGGTTGTAAGGGATCTTGAAGGGCTTAAACACGTCCTTTCCAGCTTCTGCATTTATTTGTCACTTCTGTTCTCCCCCCACCCACGTTGGCTGTGCATTAAATACTGCCTTGACTTTCTAAGACTTGAAGATGTTTTTAGCTTAGCAGTTTAAAGGGAATTGCTTCTTCGTTGCTTCTTTGTCAGTTGTTTTTTTAGTTTGTTTTTGTTTGTTTTCTTTTGGGTTTTTCTAATATATCTGTATTGATTTCAGCGAGAGGAAGGGAGAGGGAGAGAGACAGAAACATCAGTGATGAGAGAGTCACTGATCGGCTGCCTCCTGCATGCCCCTGACTGGGGATCGAGCCCACAACCCGGGCATGTGCCCCGACCGGGAATCCACCTCGATCTCCTGGATCCCAGGTCGATGCTCAACTGCTCAACTAAAACGCCTGGCCAGCATTTTAGTATTCTCAATGTTGATGGATGCTGGGCATGTTCGTTGCCTGTTCTCTAGTTTTCTTGCTCACCATTGGCTGTCTTCTTGTCCAGTTTGAAGATAGTGAAGAGGACTTTGACTCGAGGTTCGATACGGACGATGAACTTTCTTACCGGCGGGACTCTGTGTACAGCTGTGTCACGCTGCCTTACTTCCACAGCTTTCTGTACATGAAAGGTATGACAGGCCACCGTGGCGCGTGGGTGTGGGCTAGAGCGATGGAGTGCTGAGATTTTGTTTTCACTGAGGCTGATCCAGGGGATTGGGAATAGCACCCTACCTACCCCCTGACCTCGGGTTAGGTTCTCTAGGTGCATGGAGGATGCCATGGTGGTGTGATACGGGTGACACAGTAACACCAGGGAGAACATTGCTGTGACTGTCCTCGGTGCAGTGTTAGGACAGACAGTTTACAGCCACTTTCACCAGTGATGAGAATTATAGTCATGTGTTTTGATTGGTCTAGCTACTAATATCAGTCATTCGCTTTTCGAAGTCCTGCCATTCTCAGCCTCTGATCCCCAGTGTGCTCATGGAAACCACACAAGGTTTGTTTTAGGGGAGATCTGCCTATTGCTGCCTGAAGTCACTGGTTGGTGGAAATTTTTATAGGAGCCTTAGAATGACAGAGATTGAGAAAGTCTAGTCAAGGAGCTTGCATCAGATCATTCGATAAAGGAAAACAGGTAATCACAGATCAGGACCTAATGATCCAATAAGTATGTAACCATAGCTTTTAAGATTTTCTCATGCACTTCTCAGAATAAATATAAGCTTTTTATTATTAATGTATTTCCCCCTCCCCCAAATGAATTTTAGTCCCCAAGTTAGCTTTAAAATTCCCTATATCAGTATATTACTCTTACTTATCATATGTGGCATTGATTTATTACATAGTTGTTTGACAAATAAGATTAGGTAAAAGTAAACATACATTCAAAGCATCCATTTCAACATTAAAGCATTAAAAGCTCAAGAAGGTACACAAGTGAATTTTTGGCAAATTCATCTCCTAAAAAAGTTATTGTGTAAGTGCATCATTTAATCTTTAGTAAGGGTCTTAAATAAAACTATGACCCCCCTCCAAAAAAAATCAGAGAAACCAATGATAAAGAATATCCAACCACCAGATACTATTTTATGAGCATAAATGTGTTTTCACCAGCCTATTAGCCTACTAAAGGTGTCTGCAATTGGAAATTAATAGCATTGATCAACTTCTCTAAATGATGAACTATTGAGAGAGTGCCCGGAACTGCAGAGAGAGGGCTGGGAAGAAGTCCTATTAATAGCTAATAGCAAATAGCAGCAGCGTGAATAAACCTATGGTGATGACTGTTGTAATCTGCGTCTTTGAAACTGTGAATAACCTTTATCATTTAAAGACGATAAGATAAAAGAATAACTTTGTATTACCGTTTCCTCTGGGCCTGTTTGAAAAGCTCAGATTAAAGTCGTACATCAAAAAGCAAAGAAAGTTTCTGGTAGTCCTTGGCAAGTCTGCTGTTTGTTAGGAAACAGCTCTGGAGCTTGGCGTGACCACAAAGACTTTTCAGCTAGGTGCGCGAGCAGTGCTTTAGATGCAGGAAGGGGCAGCAGTTGGTATTGCTCAACGAAGCAGGTGCACTTTGCACACCGAACACAAGCCAGTGTTGTCATGGCCTTATTTGCACCACTGTGAGGTTTAGATCTATAATCATTGAAGAAATTAATCTGAAAAGGTCTCATTTAAATTCTAATCTGTAAAAGAAAAGTGTTTTCTTTATGCTGACTTTCAATATCCACGTTTAAATGTCCCTTATTTTTATTACTGGCTGACCCAAAAACATAACTTGTGCACATTTTATAATAAATTATTGAAGTAGGTTATGTTCTTCAGTGGATACACTGAAACAGATTTTTGAAGGATGGTGGTAAGATGCCACTGTTGAGTGTCCTTGAAAAATCTAGAATACTAAAATAAAATTATCCTGCTAAAAAGGTATTAGAAATATTTTTTATCTTATAAACAGTGACATCTGTATACCCTTGTCTCCTTGTCTAATTTTGCTCAACCAAAAGAAAGTTTCCCACTAAATAAATTATAGCTAACTTCTCATTTTTTTAGGTTTAATCACAATTCAGCTTGAAGTCTTTGTTTCATATTCTGAATCGTATACCTTATCCATGTGAACCATTTTCAGATGATGATGCTTTTATTTTTTAAAAGATGTGTTTATCCAAAGAAGTCTGTTTTATTTTCCTATTAAGTTAGAGTGTTTTGCTAAACTACAAAATCACTGACAAGTCATGTTTCATTGACCAAATAAGGAAGGAATGTGTAAACTTTGAAACCATTTTAAACTGATTTCCCCTTTGGGGCATTTGAAGATAAACATACAGAAATGATTCTCCTCCCACGGCCCTGACCCACTGCAGGGTTTGAGTGTCAGCTCAGTGTGAGGAAGGGACAACATTCTTGCATCATCCAGCCAAGCTAGTGTAACATCTGTCCAGTGCCGCCATCCTGCCCTGAGGGGCGTCTGAGGGCAGGTCACTCAAGGCAAAGTGAAGGGCAGGCTGAGCCTTAAGACCTGCTGGTATTGTCACCCACTGATTGACTTTTCTTAAACCCCTCCCTACCCATCGCGGGGGCACAGGTGGCTTGATGAACTCCTGGAAACGCCGCTGGTGCGTCCTCAAGGACGAGACCTTCCTGTGGTTCCGCTCCAAGCAGGAGGCCCTCAAGCAAGGCTGGCTCCACAAGAAAGGCGGCGGCTCCTCCACGCTGTCCAGGAGGAACTGGAAGAGGCGCTGGTTCGTCCTGCGCCAGTCCAAGCTGATGTACTTCGAGAACGACAGCGAGGAGAAGCTCAAGGGCACCGTGGAAGTCCGGACGGCAAAGTAGGTTGGCGACCCTCGATGTGGCCCAGCGGGTGGTGCCGGGGGGCGGCTTGGCCCTCGGTGCCGATGCCTCCCAAGCCAGCTGGTGCGAGTTCTTCGAAGCAGTGTACTAGTAGGTGTTGAGTGTGTCCCTTGTCATCACTTCAGTGGGCTGAACGGTTAGGAAACGAGGGAAACGGCTTCATCTGTGGGCGGTTCACTCCCTGCGGTTACATTCAGACATTGGGCTCTGGCCTGGAAGATGCCGGCTGGACATAGAACTAGCCCATTGGAGATGTGATTGGTTGTTTGCAGGAATCGTGCTGTGAATGTTGAATGGTTGGCTGAGAACCTTTTTTACCATCCTTTTAATCGGTCAACATACCCCCTTCAAGTCTTGGACATTCCCAGCTGTGCCAACAGATTGCTAAANACTCCCTGCGGTTACATTCAGACATTGGGCTCTGGCCTGGAAGATGCCGGTTGGACATAGAACTAGCCCACTGGAGATGTGATTGGTTGTTTGCAGGAATCATGCTGTGAATGTTGAATGGTTGGCCGAGAATCTTTTTTACCATCCTTTTAATCGGTCAACATACCCCTTCAAGTCTTGGACATTCCCAGCTGTGCCAACAGATTGCTAAATTGGGAGCCGACTGCCAATCTGGAGGTGTTTGGTTTTTTTGTTCTGTTTTGTTTTTAGAGATATAGCTGACACGTAACTTTGTATCAGTTTCAGATATAAAACAGAGATTTGATATCTGTATGTATTGCAAAATTATTATCAGCACACAGTTATGCATTTTTTTCTTGTGATGAGAACTTTTAAGATCTACTTTCTTAGCAGCTTTCAAATATGCAATACAGGATTATTGACTATAGTCACCATACTATACAAGGGCAGATTTCATAGGTGGCACAGCTCCTTGCCACATGCAGTCTTCTCTCAGCCCTGTAGACCATGATGTTCTTCTATATTTGCCCTGTGATGGGGGGGCGCTAATGCCAGGAAGCTGAGAGAGAGCGTGTGAGTTGTGGTTTTAGTTTCACAGCATAAATTGATGTTTGTTCCTTTTGCAACTCACTCTGTTGCTGAATAAAGCCCTGTTCTTCAGGTGCTTTGTAAAAATTTTAGAGTCAGGGAAATGTTAGCTCTTAGTCACCCATTTGTCATAGTCTCTAAAGGAAGAGCAATGAGTAATTAGGGTTTCACCACATTAAGATTTTTTAAATTAAGATTAAGTTTAAGATTTTTTATTTCATTTTTTATTATAGAAAATTTCAGTCACATGCAAGAGCAGATAGAAGAATATATTGAAATCCATGTACTTATGGCCCAACTTTTCGCAGTTACCCACCACAGCCGTAGTGTTTCGCTCCCCCTGCAAACTGTATTCTTGAAAGCAAGACCCTTACATCGTATAATGTCACCTGCAGATATTTTAGTATGCACTTGAAGATTAAGACACTTTTTAATATATAACCACAATATTATTGTAACATTTAAAAAATATTAACTCCTTATCATCCAAACTCAAGTCGTTCAAATGTCCCCAGTTGTCTTATAAATGAAGGTGATAATGTTCTTGTTAGTCTGGGTTGGTTTATTTCTTCACATCAGAATCCCAACACGGTTTATAATTCCTAGTCAGTCAGTTGGCAGATCTCTCCAGTCCCTTCATGTGTAAATTCCTCCTCCATCATTTCTTTCTTTCACTACCTGTTTTTGAAGATGCTGCCTCATTTATCCTGCAGTTTCCAGACCACGTTTATCCTTTACCGTGGTCCTGATAACGTCATCACACCCTTGTGAGGGCCAGTGTGAGAAGAGAGGGGCCTATCCCTAGAGAAGTCAAAGAAACCTGTACCCCAGGCCAGGCCAGCAGCGCCCCTTTCTCTGCAGGAGAGAGGGATCTGGCTCCCCCTAGAGGCCACAGTGATCTTCATTTCTAAAAAAGCAGGCTGAAGTAGGCGTCTGATTTTTCAGTTAGTTTCCAACTCAGTGATCAGTTTGGTGAAATTGCTTTTCTCACTTGTTAAGAATTCTGTGTTCCTGATTTGCTCTTGGCGCTTCCCCCCCCCACAGAGAGATCATAGATAACACCAGCAAAGAGAACGGGATCGATATCATCATGGCCGATAGGACCTTCCACCTGATCGCCGAATCCCCAGAAGACGCCAGGTGAGGAGCTGTGCTGTCGACCTCATCGTAACTACATCCTCAGTCCTGCACAGGCCTGGGCATCGCCCAGATCACCGCCTCCCCACTAGCTCTGAAAAATTTTAACTAGTTTCTTAGTTAGGATGTCTGAAGGACTGTGAGTCGTAAGAGATCGATGTGCTTTTCCCCTGGGGAATTCTTTACTGGGCAGATCTGTCCACGTACACCTCACAGTTCAGGACTCCCAGCTTGCAGTGCCACCCGTCAGACCCCTTGTCGTCCCTGCTCGGGCTTATAAAGTGTCACCAGCAGTGTGTGTAAACTGTGCAGCTGCACCCAGCTGAAAGCCCCCAAGCTTCTGAGCTTTGCAATGGAACAGCTTGTGTTTGCTGAAGGATCCAAGAGGCAGGAGCATTAACCACCGGCTGTAGATAAATGAGAGCGCTGTGACATTTGGAAGGTGTTCAGTCTTGATATTGAAGAGTTCGGTAGGAGAAAGTGACAGTTAACGCTTAGAGGACTTACTGTACTGCAGGCTGTGTTCTAAAGTGCTTCCCGCTACTGAGACTGTAGGGTTATGTTGGCGATCTGTCGTCCACTCGGCAGTGCCAGAGAGTGCCGTCCAGTTTAGGCGGGTGACATCCTTCAGCCTATATTCTCCCCTTTTCAGCTCAGAAATCACTAGAGTCTTCTAGTGAGTTGACACAACACCATGGTAAGCAGCATTAAGGGCAAAGAAAATAATTCTTCCCATGGGAACAACCTGCAACCCTGCCAAGGTCCATAAATTATGACACAAACTGGAAAAACAAGCAAGCCCGGCGTCACAGCCCCATCCTTCTGTCTGGGACGCCTAGTGAACACGCGTGATTTTTTGTGGTCCAGGGAATGCCCACAGCTTTTCAGCTAAATTACAGGCTCAGCATTTGGCAGCTCTCCTGTCTGTTTTGTGCCATGATGAACCTGCTAAATTTAACAGTTGGAATATTTTAGCCAAGGGCTTTTTTCCCTGACCAGTGGAACGCATTTATAAAAATTTCTTCTCAGAGTCCAAGTTATTCTGTTCAGACTGAAAGCACAGCAGAGTTTGTTTCTGTGTTTGGGTGTGTGTGTCTGTGTGAGATCCCTGTGGCTTCCATATTGCATGTGTGTGTTTTTAGTGTTTAATTTGGGATATTTCTGAGCTTCCACGTAAAGCGATGACTGCAGCCTTCCTTTGGGTTAACCTGAGTTAATGAAGCAAAGGTACATGGGAAGTTTCCCGAGTCTCCCTCAGCTTCTGTGCATGTTGAGTATTATCAGGCTCTTGGTCACTTTTTTCTCCTTCAGGGATCACAGGAGATAGATTTTAGTGCTTTGCTGTAAATAACTTACATGACTAATCTTTACATATAGGTATTACTTTTGTACTGAAATATCCATGTGTATTAAGTACTTTCTCTTCTGCCTTCCTTAGTAGGAGTATGTATATATGTTTTTTATTTTTTCAATTACAGTTTGCATTCAATAGTATTTTGTCTTACTTTCAGGTGTACAGCATAGTGGTTAGACAGTCACGTACTTTGCAAGGTAGCCCCCTGATATTTCCAGTACAATTAGCCCCTACAGGAGGAGAATGTGCTAGCGTCTCTCCTATTTGGCATCACTCGCATTTTGTGGTTGACGGACAGATGGATATTCATGATCATTTTTCTCAAGCAGGTATTGAGTTTCCAGTTACATCATGACCTTTGTTCTGCTTGACAAGTTTCCCTTTATTATCTGATTCTGATGTAACTGAGAAGACTTTTTTGAAATGAAAATGGAAGAGTTAGTTCCCTGATCAAAATAAATTTTCATTTTCTACTCCAAGCACTTGTTTTCTACTTTGAGCTCTCCTGTGGTTTTACTCACATTAGTAGAAATCCTTCTAGGTGGTTGGCAACCCCATCCGGGGAATGAGGCGGGAAAATAGACTTCACGTGGCCATTCTGAGAAGGTCCTACATTTCGCCTCTTACCTTGCAGTTTACCTTTCAAAATGAGAAGGCACTTGCATGCTCCCGGTTTAAATAATATCTTCAATAAAGATTTTTCATGTAAGTGTTTTGGTTAGAACTGAGGGTTTCATTTTTCCTGCCAGTTTCTCTAGGAACTCATTATTGTTAGATGTCTGTAAAGGTCTGTGGGACTTGGAGGGAAGCTCTCCCAATGATCTGAACTTGCAACAGATGGTACTTAAGGTACTTGGTCTGTTTCTTTTAACTTTGCTCCCTGGTAGTAGGAAACCTGCATTTACCCCTGACGTGTAGGCAAATGAAAAGCAACGGCGGTCAGAGAAAAGGTGGTTTTCCTCTGTGTTCGAGGGCATTGCTGTTTTGTAAATCCAGGGCTTGGCCGTTGCTGACTGCTGCTCTCTCCGTCCCACAGCCAGTGGTTCAGCGTGCTGAGTCAGGTCCACGCGTCCACGGACCAGGAGATTCGGGAGATGCACGACGAGCAGGCAAACCCCCAAAATGCCGTGGTGCGTGAGCATTGGTGGGCTGGGGTGACGTCCTGTGGGCGGTGGGAAGCTGGGAGTTTCCAGACAGTCTTTGTTTTCAAAGTAACAGTGTAATAATTATAGAGAAAAACAGGAATATTTTGGTTAAAAATTATACAGAAAAACAGAATAAATTAAAGATTAGAAGTAGTTCTAGGTTCCAATTCTCCTGCCTCAAATCATTAAAATAACAAGAACAAAAAAATCCCAATTTTCACCAAATCGTGGGAGCACATTACACTTTTCTTGCAAGGACTTAGTGAAATCTGAATTGTACTCTGTCTTTATCCCAGACACAGATACAGAGCCATAGAAACCCTATTTTAGAAATTAAGTTTTATCTTCTCATAAGAAAAACTTAATGTCAAACCAAGTTTCTCAGCAGAATAAGATCATAGCCTAAATCAGAACATTTGTACTGTCGAAAGAAGTTCTCAAACACTTGTCACTGAAGGTGTTTTAAGAAAAAGACAGTTGGGTTCTTTTAAGGAGTGAACTGTAGATTCTGCCCTCCCTGGAGGCTGGCTGTACTCACCAAATAGCCTTCTTAGATAACTGTTATTCTGCAGTTAATACAAAAAGCCTTTTGTTGGCCTGTTTAGAGGGTCGTGACCTGTTTAGAGGGTCTGGGGGTATTAAGATAATGCTCAGTGTACCTGAATGTGTCTCTCAAGCTCTCTACTCCTTGCTCCGTTCCAGGGCACTTTGGACGTGGGGCTGATTGATTCCGTCTGCGCCTCCGACAGCCCCGACAGGTGAGCTCAGATGTGACTCTTAACAATTAAGTTCTTAGTTACCTGCCTGCGCTCACTGCTCTCTCTGCATCTGGGCCACCTTCCTCTTTCCTGGGCTGTGAAAAATCTCTAAGCTGCATGTTCTCACCGGGTCCGCCTCGGCAATCCAGAGTCTTCGTCCTTGGTACCCTGTCTTATATCACCTGGAAGCTTTTCTCTCTGGGTCTCTTTGAAGTGCTGGGGGAGACCGTGGAAACCTAATTTAGACAGTTAATTAAAAACATAAAAAACACATGTAAGAGAAATATTCTTTGTTTGGATATGGCACAAACTCAGGATCCATATAGGAGGAAAATGCCTGTGTAGGAAAACAGTATTCTAGCACAGTATTCCCAAAAGGTATAGTTCCCCTTTCTAAACTTAATTATGAATTCAAAAGATTTCTATGTAAAGTATACATTTAGCAACTTAATGGAGAGCATACATTAATTTTCCTTGACATTTCTACCTTATCCGTGCCTTCAAAGTAGCATGCTTTTGGTTTTGGTTTTGAAGGCAAATCATCTTTGGAAATCATGGTCTCGGAAGTCCTTGTCCCCATGACCTCTGTTTTATCATCTCTAGTTTTCTTTGCTGCTTGTGAATTCTGAGTAACAATTAAATGGACTCCTACCTTCAAGAACAGCTTTGGAAAGTGAATAGAAATGTATTCAAATTGACAACAGAACTAGTGTCTACTAGGCAGCATTAGAGTTTCGGAGTCTTCATCACCCCACCGATGAAGGCTCTTCTGGACCACAGGTCCTTTGTTTTGGCAGTCACCCTGCACCTTCCTACACCTGGCTCAGCAACCTGAAACACATGTGTTGGGTCAGCAATCAAAGCCGGATTCTTAATCTGATGGTCACATTCCTATCTCATCTGCGTCTGCCTTCTCCCAACCCCTTCACTCCATCAGGCCGGGCTTGTGCTGAGCCATGCTTAGAACTTTCCATCTCTGTTCAGGCTTTCTCCTCAACTGCCTACCTTTCTCCCCTCCCAACTATAGAAAAATCTTTATTTCTGAGGAGCACCTATGTTTTTCTATGTACTATACTCCTGTGAATCTTCATTCCTTTCCCTTGAACTTTTGGTGCATTAACTACAGTGAACTTGTAAGAGATTCATTCACTAGCTTAAGCACTTAGGTAGAGGAATTAGTATGAGCAAAGGCCTATGACAGGCTCAAGGCACTGAGGGGGGGAAAAAGTAAATTTCCGTTATTACGGCACCCTAACTGGGAACGAGCCCTTGTTAGATTGCTCTGAAAACATGGGCCCAGGTGGCTTTTTGTACCAGGCATAATCAAGTGTATAATATATTCCTTTACACCTATTTACTGATCATCTTCTATTATTGGCGTCTGACATTTCATTACCGACAACAGAAATATTATCCAAGGCAGTACCCAGAAGCAGAAAGAAATTTACTTTGGAGAGGCATCAAAACAAAATTTTCCCCCACAGTCACCTTATGTAGCCTTCCCGGAACCGGGTGTCATCTGGAAAGTTTTGCATGAAGAAATGTGTTCCCTTCCAGGGCCTTCAGAATGTGTCGCTCCAAGTGTAAAGGGTAATGATGCATAAAATAAATCCTGCGGAAATGAGCAAGGTTTGCCATCCTTACCGTAAAATACAAATAGCACGGTCATTTTTATCCCCGTGACCCGTAAGCCCGGAGGAAGGCACTCAGTCCTGGTTCACACAGAGGTGATGCTCACAGTAGAGCTAAGAGGCTTTGCTTCCTTCCCGCCCTGTCGCACAGGCCGAATTCGTTTGTGATCATCACGGCCAACCGGGTCCTGCACTGCAACGCGGACACGCCAGAGGAGATGCATCACTGGATAACACTGCTGCAGAGATCCAAGGGCGACACCAGGGTAGAGGGCCAGGAGTTCATCGTGAGAGGTGACTGCCACCAATGCTTTCCTTTCTCACCGAGCCTTGTTTTCATTTGCATGGACATCTGTGTCTTTCCTCTTTCAGCAGCTTTTCCAAGTCATTTGACTCTTGAAGTTGCTAAAAATATGAAATGAGAGATGATCATGGTCATTTCTAGCAAATCTTTGGAATATGACCCACTTGTAAGCGTTGTGCAGATTATTACCTGGTATTTGGTGTTTCTCCTCATAGTTTTTGAGTTAGACTCTCCGCTTTCTTTCCAGGGTGGTTGCACAAAGAAGTCAAGAACAGCCCGAAGATGTCCTCGCTGAAACTGAAGAAGCGGTGGTTTGTGCTCACTCACAACTCCTTGGATTACTACAAGAGCTCGGAGAAGAACGCCCTGAAACTGGGCACCCTGGTCCTCAATAGCCTCTGCTCGGTCGTCCCTCCAGATGAGAAGGTTTTCAAAGAGACGGGTAAGTCACCGGGCCGCAGGGCATCAAATCCTAGGAGCTCTGGGTCTGCCCAGGGGAAGGAAGGAGGCTCCTACCAAAAGTGTGCTCTTCTCTCGTCAAAAGAGCTCTTTCTGATTGATTTCTCTCCCGAGGCTGCCTGTGGTTAGCCGTGAGAACACAGTAAACGATCGTAAAGAGATTTTGATTTAGTGAGTTGGAGGAAGAGTCATCTGAGGACAGTAACATGTAAACAGACGAAGGTCATCCCACAGGAAGCTTTATATTTATTTGCTTGGGTTTTATCTTTTTTATCATTGTACCATGAGAGTCGTAATGCAGCCTGGAAAAGATAAATCATGCCAATGAGTGTAATATAAATAAAATAGAGTGTAAGCTTAGTTTTTTTTTTCCTTCTCAGTATTATATTAAAAATGTCTCTAGATTTACCTGAATTTTGTTGCTAGTTTGATTTTGTGCTTTTTTAAATATAGCTATTCCATTAAAAACAAGATTTGTGTGTTTTTAATACATTTAATACATTTAATCTATTCCAGATTGCAGCTTGTTTTAAGCCTGTAGATTGCTTACTTAGCACAAGGGTTTTCAGGGGGGCCTGAGAAAGGACCAGGAGAAGCAGGAAGGCAGGAGAAAGCAGTGGGCAGTTTTCTCTCCAGCCCCGGAGCCTTGAAAGGGGACTTGAGTTTACGCCTGTTTTTCTTCCAGAGCAAATGTTACGATTTGCACATGTAATTCTGGGTTTATTATTTTTTGTTTGTGGTCCTCTCTCAGCTGTAAACTCCTGTCTTTTGGGTACCAGCACATGTATGAATTCAGCAAGTATTTACTGAATTTAGTAACTAAAGGGGCTTAGGTGGAGATGACACAGCTGCTGACGGTGCCGGATTCCTGGACTCTGGTACAGGACCGTGTCCTTGGTCGCGGAGGTTAACGCTGGTGCGTGTGTGATGCGTCTTACAGGCTACTGGAACGTCACCGTGTACGGGCGCAAGCACTGCTATCGGCTCTACACCAAGCTGCTCAACGAGGCCACCAGGTGGTCCAGCGCCATTCAAAACGTGACCGACACCAAGGCCCCCATCGACACCCCCACCCAGCAGCTGATTCAGGACATCAAGGTAAGGGGGATGCGAGCTCATCAGGGTGGTTCTTAGGAGCTGACGGCCTCTCACCATTGGAACATCAAGACGTCAGCATCAGTCAAGCTCCATTTTTATTCTGTAATCAAAACCAACTCTTGGTAAATTTTGTGTTTGCATATCCCTGCTTTTAGGAATCTAAATGTGCGATTTTGGGTAAAATCTTACACTAAAATATTTTACCTTTAGGGAGGTGTTCGATGTTGCTGCCGAGGCAGACCTGGTTGCTGGGCTCTAGGCAGAGGGACGATGGTCTGTGGTTTGGAGTTAGGTTCCCCATCGTAGGGACGTGTGTGAATTGTGTTGGGGATGACATGCTATGCCAGAGGTTCGACTTCAGCCCTGGGTGGGGGTCTTTTAGAAGTAACACAGTAATTCTACTCTTAACTATATGCAGTTTCTAGACCACACAGCTGGGTTCACACAGAGCCCAGATTGGTCTAGAAAACTTGGAATCTGTATCAGGGGCCCCCAAACTCAGAAAAGTGCCTGTCTCTGGACCAGTATGGACCACGTTAAATTGTGATGTCCTGTTATAAAGATGAGTTGCTCAGTAAGTGTGTGTTGAATGAACGAACACACAATTAAATGGCAATCGTGCACGAGGATTACTGCATTCATTTTCCAGGAAGGGAAACAGACATGGGGTATTCTGGTTGCATTGCTCACCTAGCTGGTCAGTCCCTGGTGCAGAACCAGGTCAGAGGAATGATTTTTACTGCTGTTCCTCCATGTTGCCCATGCAGACAGATTCCCTACACAAAGGAAAGAGCTGGAGCTGATTCAGAGTGATAGTGAGATAGGTACTTACTGATGTACATCAAAGGACGTTAACCAATTGGATCCAGGAGGCAAACTCCACCTTTGCAAACGTGGGAAAGGGTCTCATGTGTCAGTAGTACATAATTTCCCTCCAAATTCAAGTTGGCCTCTTGATGCCAAACTTAAGTGTTTTCTGTGTGTTTGAAGCTAAATTCCACTGAGTGAGTTATTCTCTGAGACTCTGCAAAGCTTTCTGTGGAACCCATGGTGCTGGATACTAATAATTTTATTTCTGGCCATAAAAATACTTTTTTGAAGCTTTCTTTTGAGATAGGAGTAAAAAAATGCACATATCAGCTGAACTTCCTCCTCAAAGTTCTATCTAGTCTTACATTGTCTAATTAATTTGAAATCAGACATTAAAAGTGTAATAGAATTTTCCAAATATGAAACCATGCTTTTTAAGAAACTAGACAAGTTGCCCTAATTAAGTTCATACACTTTTTTTTTAAGTAATTAAAGTTTTTTTCCTACTTTTAATCTGGTGTTATTGAAAAAGTTTCATAGTGGAAATGAAATTACCAGGACAGAGTGATTCATTGCCTCTCCTCCAACTCTTCTGTTTATTTAAAGTTATAAAAGTCACTGGCTCTTTTGCATCCCCAATTAGGATTTTAGGAGCATAAATACATGATGATGAATTTCTGTGAGCAGATCTCTTAAATTTCAGGAGTGAAAGAGAAGGCAGGCACATGGAAAGAGTCTCACTCTACCTGTGGCTTTCTGGTATAGAGAATACAAAAGATAAGTTAAGAACTAGCAAAATGCATGCTTAAATGAATTTTAGATAAAGGTTCATTGTTTGGCTAAATGATCGATGACTAAATAATTAGCAAGAGACTTTTAAATTAATTTTTTAAGTATATATAAGTGCAGGGGGAACCTTTTATTTTATTTTTTTAAATATATCTTTATTGATTTCAGAGAGAGGAAGGGAGAGGGAGAGAGAGATAGAAACATCAATGATGAGAGAGTCATTGATCGGCTGCCTCCTGCATGCCCCCAACTGGGGATCGAGCCCGCAACCTGGGCGTGTGCCCTGACCGGGAATCGAACCCGGATCGCCTAGATCCCAGGTCAGCGCTCAACCGCTGAGCCACGCCTGGCTAGGCGGGAACCTTTTAAATAACATGAGAGAATTTATGTGAGTGAAACAGAGAAGGAATGATACAAGAACACTGTGGTTGTGGTTTGTTTTCATACACAGATTCTCGGTCTCCTCCAGCTTGCAGTTTTTAATGCTGGATTTCTATTACCATTCCTGGGCGTGGTGGAAGGTTTAGACTTTGAGNAACCCGGATCGCCTGGATCCCAGGTCAACGCTCAACCACTGAGCCACGCCTGGCTAGGCAGGAACCTTTTAAATAACATGGAGAATTTATGCGAGTGAAACAGAGAAGGAATGATGTAAGAACACATGTGGTTGTGGTTTGTTTTCATACACAGATTCTCGGTTTCCTCCAGCTTGCAGTTTTTAATGCTGGATTTCTACTATCATTCCTGGGCGTGGTGGAAGGTTTAGACTTTGAGAAATATTCATGTGTAGGAGAATACAGATGCAGATGTTTTTCCCCATACATTTGCCTGCTTTCTGTAATGGCCCCTTTATTTTCAAGGAGAACTGCCTGAACTCGGATGTGGTGGAGCAGATTTACAAGCGGAACCCCATCCTCCGCCATACCCACCACCCCCTGCACTCCCCACTCCTGCCCCTGCCCTACGGAGACATCAATCTCAACCGTGAGTCCCCAGTTCCACCTGGACTCGAGACACTGGTTCTGTTTTCCGTTAACTCTTTAGCTCTGGTATATTAGCATTTGTTAGTTGTAGTGATGCAAGGACTGTTCTATTGAAGTACGGAACTTTAAAGGGAGTCAGAAAATGCCCACACTCCCATGCACTCCNCAAGGACTGTTCTACTGAAGTACGGAACTTTAAAGGGAGTCAGAAAATGCCCGCACTCCCGTGCACTCAAAGTCGCCTCCATATCCTCGAGAACAGATCCTACACAGTCTTGGATTCCCATTATGGAACCAGTTGCCAACAGATCAACTTTTAAGTAAGAATTTTGTACAATAAAAGAGTTGACTTATGTAATAAAACAGTGAATTACATAAACATTATGAATTACATAACATAACTTGCCCCTGTTTTGTTTTTTTGTGTGTTTTTTTTAATTACTAGTATTGATTTTAGAGAAAGGAAGGGGGAGAGGGGAGAGAGACACAGAGTGTGAGAGAGAAACATTGATTGCCTCCTGCACACTCCCTGACTGGGGATGGAACCCACAACCTGGGTGTGTGCCCTGACCCGAAATAGGACCCGCCACCTCTTGGTGTACGGGATAATGCCCCGACCAACTGAGCCACACCAGCCAGAGCACCCCTCTTTGTTTTGACAGCTTTTCCCAGCTGATTCAAAGGTACAGGGACCGGGGTGGGAACTGTGTCATGAAGAAGCTGTCTGTCCCCACTCCTTCCTCTTATGTGCTGCTCAGATGGTACCTTCTTTGACCCCCTGTGTGACTTGCGTTGGTTTGCTTTTCCTATCCTAGTGCTCAGGGACAAAGGCTACACCACCCTGCAGGATGAAGCCATCAAGATCTTCAATTCCCTGCAGCAGCTGGAATCCATGTCTGATCCCATCCCCATCATCCAGGGCATCCTCCAGACCGGGCATGACCTGCGCCCCCTGCGAGACGAGCTGTACTGCCAGCTCATCAAGCAGACCAACAAGGTGCCGCACCCGGGCAGTGCCGGCAACCTGTGCAGCTGGCAGATCCTCACCTGCTTGAGCTGCACCTTCCTGCCGAGTCGGGGGATTCTCAAGTACCTCAAGTTCCACCTCAAAAGGTACGAGCTGGAGGCAAATACTGTAGGATTTCACTTATATGTGGGATCTGAAATACAAAATAAGCAAACAAAACAGAGGCAGACTCAGATACAGAGAACACAGGCTGATGGTTGCCAGAGGGGAGGGAGTTGGGGAGCCGGGTGAAAGGGGTGAAGGGATTGAGAAATACAGATTGGCAGCTACAGAATAGTCATGGGGCTGTAAAGTACAGCACAGGGAATATAATCAGTANGAAGGGATTGAGAAATACAGATTGGCAGCTACAGAATAGTCATGGGGCTGTAAAGTACAGCACAGGGAATATAGTCAGTAATATTGTGATAGCTCTGTATGGGGCCAGGTGGGTGCTGGGCTTCACTTACGTGAGCTCACAGACTGAGCCCAGACATCATTTTTCTCTCGAAGCCACATAAGGGACCAGGTCACCTTCCGTGCAGTGTTTTCAGTGTGTAGGACCTTGGATACATTTAATTACTACAACCCAGTGTAAATAGGAAACCCCCAAAACTTCGGTACTTACTCCAGAGAAAACAGTAGTAGAAACAGTCTGATTCAGATTCTGATTGACTGGAAAAACAATTCTCACACAGTGTGAGGCAGAACTTTCAAGTGGAACAGGCCCTACAGAGGTGAGAGTTGCTCCCAGTCAAGACACTGGCTTTTGGGGTTTTTTGTTTATTTGTTTGTTGTTTTTTTGTATTGAAACTGAACCTGCACAGGCTGAACTGGGCCCCTGCTGGGAAGTAGCGGTGTTTGCTCCTCTTGCCGCTAGGTGCCCGCCCACCACCTCGAAGCAGCCCGGCTGCCAGCAGCCAGCCGTCCTCAGTCTAGCAATTAAACAGTGAATGTTTCTCTCCTAGGATACGGGAACAGTTTCCAGGAACTGAGATGGAAAAATACGCCCTCTTCGTTTACGAATCTCTTAAGAAAACCAAATGCAGAGAGTTTGTGCCTTCCCGAGATGAAATAGAAGCTCTGATCCACAGGCAGGAAATGACATCCATGGTGTACTGCCACGGTGGGGGCTCCTGCAAGATCACCATCAACTCCCACACCACAGCCGGGGAGGTGAGATCACACCCCTGACTCGGGTTGTCCACTCCGGCTAGGGTACCACAACAAATATCTAGAATGTGGGATCAGGTGAACACCTTGTCTTTTCTTTCTCTTTTTTAAAATTTAAGTAAAACCTGAAAAACTTCTTGTGTAGAAGAAACATCGGTGGAAGTCACTATTGTTTCTTGGAGTTTTTTAAGCACAAGACTTTAGTTTTCATGCACTTTTCCTCCTATGGGTTTGTAAGACATTGGATCCACATCTGCCCCTCCCCGTGTTCCTTTTGGCAAGAAAAAGATAAGACTGGTTTCAAGAGAATAAGAGAAACTGCACCTTTGAGATTGTGGGTGACCACGCAGGACAGCTTTAGGAGGCTGTTTGGACCCTCGCTTTTGCTGGCGGCTCCCTCTGAGTTCCCTTGACGGCACATTCTAGAAGCACAGCTCTGGGCACTGACGGCCTCGGGGGTGGGGGGTGTCTTCCAGGTGGTGGAGAAGCTGATCAGAGGCCTGGCCATGGAGGACAGCAGGAACATGTTTGCCCTGTTTGAGTCCAACGGCCACGTCGACAAAGCCATTGAAAGCCGGACCATCGTAGCCGATGTGCTAGCAAAGTTTGAAAAGTAAGTTCCTTCTCCCTGAAGGGCCAGCCGATTAACCGAAAGCAAATAAGAGCAAGAGTTGAGGACCTGAACTTTGTTTGCAGCCTCAGTGCGCACTGGAGGTTATTTGACCAGCATTGAAGCTAACTAGAGTTTTCACCTCCGCAGGCTGACTTTTCGGTTCCTAGATAAGGCCACCGTGTCAAATAGGGTCCAGTTTGTTTTCGTTTCTTTACCCCACCCCGTCAGTCCCCTGTTTTACTCATTGCCTTGGGATTCCTTGTCCATTGGCTTTGAAATGGGGCTACTAGACACAAGCCAACTTAGAAACAAACTCTGTATCTCTGTTGGAACTCTGATTTTCATCTGTGCCTCTTATATCTTCTTAATAGCTCAGAAGATACTTCTGTTCAGTGTAAACACAGCCTCCATAATATTTGTGTCGATTTTTATAAATATTGTAGTTCATTTGAAGAAATAGCCTGGGTTTCTTTTCTCTCTATGGATTCAGCACAATGCTTATCTAGTACCCATTAGACTGGGGCACTCGGAAGATGCTTGTTAGCACAGTTTGATTGAAGGCTGCCTGCTTGTTGTGTTAAAGCTAGACCCGGCTGCAAGCATGGCTCCCAGCTCTGGTTAAGTAAAATGCACAAGGGACTCTGATGAGCCTCACTCAGCTCTGCTTTCTCTCTCTCAGTCCCCGTCTCTGCCCACTCGGCTCTCTGAGCATGGACAGATTGCCTACATCCTTACAGAGAATAAGCCATGTCACATCAGCTCCCTGTGGGTCACCCGAGGCCCGTCTCTTGTTTTGCTTTCTGAGTCTCTCCTGACTTCTTCTGTAGGCTGGCTGCCACGTCCGAAGTGGGCGATCTGCCCTGGAAATTCTACTTCAAGCTGTACTGCTTCCTGGACACAGACAATGTGCCAAAAGACAGCGTGGAATTTGCATTTATGTTTGAACAGGTGAGGGAACTTTTAGAAACAGATTCCTTCATCAGGGAGCGGAGTGAAACCTGTTACTGCCCCTTTTTAAGTTAACTGCTGGTCCTTAGAAATTGGGCATGGCAGTCAACTTCCCAGTGTGGACAGGTCAGCGGCTTGTATTCATTAGTAGATGAAATTTATGCACATTTTATTTGAACTCCTGTGCCAGGAGCTGTTCTAGTTGGGCAGAGAGAGACAGTAAAGAATAAAATATGTGTTAGATGGTATCCGTGCTGGGGAGAAATTTAAAGCAGCAAAGCGGAGTCCAGGTACCATTTCTAGGGAAGGTGACATTTGAGAGCAGTCCTGATGGAGGAGGGAGTGAGCCAGGTGGGCATCCCGTGTCTGCCCCTAACGCTGCTGACCACCTCCTTTCAGGCCCACGAAGCCGTTATCCACGGCCACTACCCGGCCCCTGAAGAAAACCTGCAGGTTCTCGCAGCCCTGCGGCTGCAGTACCTGCAGGGGGACTATTCACTGCACACCACCATCCCGCCTCTCGAAGAGGTTTACTCCCTGCAGAGACTCAAGGCCCGCATCAGCCAGTCCACCAAAAGCTTCACCCCGAGTGAGCGGCAGAGGCGGACGAGCTTCCTGGAGGGGACGCTGAGGCGCAGCTTCCGCACGGGCTCCGTGGTCCGGCAAAAGGCCGAGGAAGAGCAGATGCTGGACATGTGGGTCAAGGAAGAAGTCTCCTCGGCTCGAGCCAGCATCATCGACAAATGGAAGAAATTTCAGGGAATGAGCCAGGAGCAGGCCATGGCCAAGTACATGGCTGTGATCAAGGAGTGGCCTGGTTATGGGTCCACGCTCTTTGATGTGGAGGTGAGACCCGGCTGCTGTGCGCTGGGGGCAGGCAGGCTGCTGCTTCAGGGACCAGGGTGTGTCTGAGAACATAAATCAGTGTGACCATGGCCAAGGGCATACAGAGGAAGGATGGGATGAACACTGCTCTCTTTGACTCTCTTTGGTTAGAGCTCCCCAAATCTTACCCTTAACACACCCACCCCCAAAGGTTTTATTTTCTTGATAGTAAATGCTTTTAAAAAAAATTTTTTTTTATTGATTTCAGAGAGAGGAAGGGAGGGAGGGAGAGAGAGTCAATGGGATTGAGCCCACAACCCAGGCAATGTGCCCTGACTGGGAATCGACCTGTCACCTCCTGGTTCATAGGTCAATGCTCAACCACTGAGCCATGCCTGCCTGGCTATAGTAACTGCTTTTTCAATACTAGGAGTCAGTGAAAAGTTAAGATGCCACCTATTCTGAAATAACTCCTCTTTATTATGGAAGCTATAGAGCCAGTAAAAAGTGCTGGTAAAGACCTGCATTTAAAAAAATTTTTTTTTAATTAATAACTGTACACAGAATTAGAAACTTTGGATATACTTGGATTTTACATAAGACAGACAGATACCATTTCTCATGTTTAGTTTCCTGGCATGAATGTGCATTGAATGTGTTTAGCATTCTGTGCAGAGGGCTCGCCTGAAAGCCTGCCTTGTGTTTTCTGGGTGCTGTGCTTCTGATCGCTTCCTGATGTAACCCTTACACTAACTCTTGCCCCCAGTGCAAGGAAGGCGGCTTCCCCCAGGAGCTCTGGTTGGGCGTCAGCGCAGATGCCGTCTCCGTCTACAAGCGCGGGGAGGGGAGACCGTTGGAAGTCTTCCAGTATGAACACATCCTCTCTTTTGGGGCTCCCCTGGCAAACACGTACAAGATTGTGGTGGATGAGAGGGAGCTGCTCTTTGAAACCAGTGAGGTAAGAGGCAAACCAGGGCCTTGAAAGAAATAGAAAACCAATGTGCCATTTCCTCCTGATGCCTTTGGCCAAGTAGTTTTATTTGACTCTCATTAAGGCCAAGGAAAATACAGTAACATGACCCCCACCCAGCGTCAGGTTCCTCGCAGCCTGAAATCCGATAATCCCAAATTTCTTCTGTATACCTCTGCAACAGAGAAATCTGGTTCCTTTGTATCAGGGGGTCTTACCCATGGAGGAAAGGAAGAGAAAGCAAAATGATATGGATGTTCAAGAAACAATACATAATTTGGCAATGCAGCCTTGTGAAGATCAGATGCTGATGTAGCAACAGTAAGACCCAACTCTGTGGTGTCCACGGAGCAGGAGTGTGCAAGGGATGTGACCATCCTGGGCAGAGCTAGTTCTGGCTCACAGATTCATAGAAAATGCCTTAACTGTGTATGTTCTCTGCTCTGGAGCTTAAAATTAATAATAATAATAATGATAATACAAGAAGCCTATTGAGGTCTCCACATAGGGAGGTGCCTAGAAACAGAGGCAGGGAATGGAAATGAGTCCATGCTGCCCCCTGGCTAAGGACCAGAGAGGAGGGGCTGGAAGGAGCGGCCAGACCAAGGATGTGGTGCAGGAGCTAGATGAGGCCGATTTGAGATGGAGAGAGGTGGGGGCCATTGACTAGAGGGTCTCGGGTGCCAGGCTGCTGAGTTTGGTCGACTCCAGCAGACAGCAGGGACCCGCTCTGGGATCTTTGTGCAAGATGTAAGGATGGTGCGTGTATAGTGATGTGGGGTGGGGTTGGCAGGAAGGAGAACCAGGGAAGTGGAGGCCAGTCAGGATGTGTTAGCCGGGATCCAGGCCAGCCGCGAGAAGCGATGGGCCAGCGGGGGTGGAAGGAGCTAATTCGAGATCGTAGCCGGCCTGGAGCAGAGCTGGCCGTCTGCGGCGCTCTGCCCATCCCTTAGAACTCGGTTCTGTTTTCTCAGTTGCATCATGAGGCATTGACTAGAACTGTACAGTCCAGTCTTTAGCAGCCGTGATTGCGGGCTCTGTCGTTTTCCTTTATCTTAAGTGAGGAGATAATTCCCAGCCCTAGTGATATCAGTGTTAAGTGTCGTCAGGTGGTGCTGTGTGTTTTTTTTAACGTGCAAAGTCTGACAATTTCACATTAAGCCAAATTGCCGTTTTTGCATGAAAGAACCACCAGGTGGTGCACAGGGTACTTGGAAAGGCCTCAGTTCCCTTCTCCCTGACTAGGAACAGGTAAAAGCAGGTCGGCTTGCTGCTTCCTGCAGAACTTGAGCCGTGGATTTGCACGGCAGGCTGGTGGCTTCTGCTGGGAGGACGCGTGGCGGTTGGGGGGTCCGCCGCCCCCCTGATGAGTGTGTCCCCGCAGGTGGTGGGCGTGGCCAAGCTCATGAAGGCCTACATCAGCATGATCGTGAAGAAGCGCTACAGCACCTCGCGCTCCGTGGGCAGCCAGGGCAGCTCCAGGTGAACGCGGGCGTGAGGCCCCGTGTCCCAGCACGTCCCCCCGGCCTCGGCCGGCGCCTCTGCCCGGGCTCCCCGGCAGCCTCCGGAAGGGAGGTGTCTCCGAGGGACCTTTCGCCCTGTCCACTTCAGTGATCGTGTATTAAGCTGTCAACCTTAACCCAGTTTCCAAAGCTTTACAACTCTTAGGTGACACATGCCTTAAAACGAGAGAGAGGGAGAAACCCCATGCTGCCGCCAAAGCAGCCAGAAGTGCCTTAACTTGTGGAAGCGACACTAATGGACCTTCACTGTGCTACTGAAGGGAATGCTTCCTCCGCCTTGTTGGGCAGACTGACAGAGCCTGGAAGGGGGTGGCATTGACCCATCAACTATGCACTAACCTCCCAGCCTGATTTCCCGACTTTGCGGGAAGGTGAGGGAGTGGGGAGGGGGACAGGGAGCGCAAGGGGACAGTGTATTTTAGTTGGAGTGCTGCTGGCAGCCTTCCTCGCGGACACCTATTAACTTTTTTTCTTCGTTTCATCTTTTAAGTATCTGTGCTTGCCTGTGCATGCCTGTGCTCATAAACACACCACTTTAGTCATTGTTTCAAGCGTGTTAAAAGCAAAGGGAAAAAGGAAGTGCAATGGTGTAAACAGTCTGTCTGTATATTTCAGTAGCTCAGAGTTATAGTCTCCAATGGTTACTTTATAAGGTGGTGATATTCACAGACGGAATCCTGAATTTTCCTGTCTTTGCTGTATTTCGAAAGCCACGTTTGGACTCAGTTTTGTTATACATGTAGCAAAGTCTGCATTCTGTGTCTGCTGTATTATAAACAGATATGCAGCCTGCAAATAACTGTATTTATAAACCACTCTTAAACAGCTGGCTCCAGGGCTGTTTCTAGAATGATATGAAGTCATTTTGGAGTCTCTAGTTTCTAAAAGTTTTAAGTTAAGAAAATGTTTCTTTGAAGATTAGCTTGTGTGGCCCCAGGTAGATTACAGTATAACCATATTGAATATGGGAGAAGGGCTATCTCCCCAAAGGTGAAACACATGTGAGAATCTTTAAAGGACCCCGACGCTAAATGCTGAGGCTTTAATAAAATACAGATTTTATCCCAGGTTTATAATGGTGCTCTGAAAAAGGCGCCTGTACATAAATCAGCATTTATGACCAGAAGAAAAATATTCTGGTCTTGGACTTTTATTTTCATATGGAAAAGTTGTAAAGGCTTAGGCCAACTAAGTCTACCCACAAAGAAAAAAAATGCCTTATCCCTTATGGACAGCCATGTGAAATTGAAATCATTGTTTGTTGGCTCCAAGAAAGTCTGACAATAAAAGATATTAGCTAATGCTCAGTGTGTTTTCTTTATCCAGGTGGCTCTAAATTCATATGGGATCTTGTTTTTGTTTTTGGTGGTTTGGGGTTTTAATGCTTTGGGCTTCAGGGTGTCTCAGTTGTGTGTCTGATGCCCTTGATCACCGGTCTAAAAACAGTCATGTAAACATCACAACTGCTCTTGAAGGCGCAGAGCATGACTCCAAGAAAGCGGAGAAGGTAAAGGACAGCGTTCAAGGAAGTCAAGGGGAAGGGGTGGTGGACCTTGAGCTGGTCTGGAAATATGGCAAAGGGGAAGGAATTCCTTGGGGAGTGCCCCGAAGGAGTGCAAGCACGGGTGTGGAGGTGGAGGTGGCATGGAGCAGGTGTCAGGGCAAGGGTCTGAAGCCATGTGCGGTTCCATTGCCTTGGCCCCAATAGCACCTTCATTGATCTCACGTGGTCCCACCTTTGCGCCCCTCACCACCCCCTCGGCCCTCTCATAAATGCTACTCTCCATAGACCAGATGCCTAAAGGGATCTTTATAAACACACATGTAAATATATGCCTCTCCCACTCAAAACTATCACTTTCTCACCAAAATAGACATCTCTGCTAAGCACCCTGTTTTCTGCCCTTGTTTCATGCCACTCCACCCAGTTCTTACTTCAGCCACGCTGGCTCTGACTCAACAGCACATCTCTTGGTCATGCTTTCATCTCATCCCCATTTTATCAGCGCCCCAAACTAGGGTGTTGGCTGCCCAGTGGTGAGGAAGATAACTGACGCTTCCCGGTGAAACCCAGCGTCTGTATTCAAGAGGACAGAGCAGTAATTCCCAGGGACCGGGAGCTCCGGCAGTGATGTGCTGGTAGGTGTTCATCACGGATTCTCCAGGGGAAAACAGCCCTGCTTTGTAGTGTTTGCTGGTTTTCATGGTGTCTGTTCCCACCACAGCTAATTTCAAGCCCCAAGGGGACATCCCTGTATGCAGAGTTGTAACGAGGTGCAGCCTCAGACTCGAAAGCTGGTAGGAGCTTGGCGCTGCCCACTGAAAGGTCACATCAATAAATTTTTCAATTGAAAAAATGTCATTCAGAAGAAAATGTCGAGTAAAAAACACTGAAGTAAAAGAGACACTTATAAAGCTTTAAGTACTTTGTGGGGGGGAGTTATGTGGGAAAATTGAAGAGGTTTTCAAAGTATATTATCTGGTCCCATCTTTGATTTTCCCAGGGATTTTGTTTTCTCTTTCAATTAAGTAACAGGATTACAGTTGATTAGAAGTTTGAGACATAAACAGGGTCTGTTACTCCTGGGGCACCCAGATGTTTGCTTGGTGGGAACCAGTTGCCCGATTAGAGTTCTCATGATTCCTCGTGACCTGCCAGAAAAGAAAATGAGTAGTTCCTGTAACTTTGATCTCTTTGGGGAATTGTTCCCTAGAAGTTTACTTTGTAACTTGACACTGAAATTTAATAGGCCTCTTGGAGATATAACCCCAAGGATCAACACCAACTATAACAATTTTATTGGCTTTAATTTACTAAATATTTACTGAATTCTTGCTGTTCAGATTTTTTTAAAAACCAGCTCAGTGAGGTTTGCAAAGGAAACATAAGAACTGTCTTGAGTTCCTTAGAGCCTCGTTGGATGGAAAAGATAGGACTATATGAGACAAGAAGTTGATTGTAGCATAGCAGGAGTGTGTGGACTGTCTGCATGCAACGTGTTGAAGGGGGGTCCAGAAAGCAGGCGTGCAAGGAGGAGCTTTCAGAGGAGACTGTTGCGCCTGAAAAATGCAGATTTGTAATATGTGGTGTGAACACATGCCAGTGGCACAAATGAAAATTCATGAGGCAAAAATGAACAGGATGTGGATTTCTAAGTAATTACTTCTTACGCTTTCATTGTGTGTTTCCTTTGGCCATCTCTCTGATGTGGCCAGAGGCATTCATTACCATTTGCTCAGCACCCATTCTGTGTCAGGCACATTACCTCACTGTCTCACTGTGTCCTCACAATAAGCATGAGGTAGCTGCTAACAAACCTGTGTTTCATTGAAGATGCTGAGATTCAGAAAGCAATTTAACTTGCTGTAACAGCTTTGCTGTGTAACAAATCACTCCCAAAATTAAGTGGCTAAAGCAACAATCCTGTGTATAGGTCATACATCAGTTGGAGCTGGGCTCAGCTGGGCAGTCTTCCTGCGCGCATCTCTTCGTTCAGCTGGGGCCCGGTCAGCTGTGCCTAGGGCCTCGGATGAGATGGTTGAGCTCTGTCCCAGGTGGTCTCTCGTCGCCTTAGCTAGCCTTGGCTGATTCATAGGACATTTGGCAAGGTCTCAAGAAAGCTAGTGGGGGCCGGCAAGGTCTCTTGAGACTTAGGTTCAAAACTTCCACAGTTAATTCTGTAATATTCTGTTGGCCAAAGCAAAACCCAGTACCAGACCAGGGCCAAGAGATGGAGGAACAGACTCCGTATCTTGATGGAAGTTGCTGTAAAGTGACTCAACAGGAGGTTGGAGAATTGTGACAATTTACAAATCTACCACACTTGCTGAAAAATCATAAAACTACAATGGGCAGAGAATTCAGATCCAGGTTCGTCTCTGAAATCTTGCTCTTACCACAAAGCTATCCTAAAGTCTAAAGACTTCCTCTTTTCCTTTATCTTGCCACACCCTACGTGGCATCGTTTACCACTGTCCCATCACCAGCGTCCTCAGTTAGATGTGCACTTTAATGTGAACACACATGTGCCCGCCGTATCGCTCCCTTTCCCAAGTGTTTGCTCAGATTCTCTTGCCTGAAATAACCTTTCTCCCCGTTCATAATCTCTTTATCCATGACAATCCGGTTTGGATTTTAGTTTCTCCACAAAGCTGCCTGTGACCGACACTGCTAACCATCCCCCAACTGTGTCTCCTCTGCCTCAACCCTAAGATGAGCGAGTCTTCAGATTATTCCAGCCGCTAGCATTAGGTCAGCCCTCATGCAACGCACACTCCCCCCAAGAACCATCCGAGTCTTTTTTTTTTTTTTTTTTTAATATATCTTTATTGATTCAGAGAGAGGAAGGGAGAGGGAGAGAGAAAGCTGAAACATCAACGATGAGAAAGTCATTGATCAGCTGCCTCCTGCATGCCCCCGACTGACCGACTGACCAGGGACTTCAGCCCCCCACCCGGGCATGTGCCCCCCACTGGGAATTGAACCGCGATCTCCTGGATCCTAGGTTGATGCTCAACCCCTGAGCCAGCCTGGCCGGGCAAGAACCATCCAAGTCTTATCTATTAAGGCATCAGGTTCAGGCTTGAGACCCGGGATCTTGTCACCTAAATGAAGCCCCTGTGTGAACGAGGCTCCTTGTACTTTCCGAAGCACAACTCATTGATTAACATTTTTCTGGCTTGGAAGATCTGTGTACTAAAGAGACAAGTTTTTTGTCTTCCACTTACAGTAGTGGGACTGGCATAACAAAACTGTTATAGACACTCTAATTCAAAGACAGGGGAAAATAGAAACATAGTCAGTGGTCCATGGCATTTATGGAAAAAGGAGGACTCGGGATGTATCCAAGAGCCCGTGGAGAATGAACTCCAGGTAGCAGAACTAAGCTCTAACCATGGAACTGGCCATGTGTGCTCAGCTGGATTCCAGAAATGCCTGAGGGAGAAAGGTAAATAATCAGGGCCAGAGGACCAGTCTTGATGGCTTTGAACATAGCCACAAATTCTTTGATAGTCTTCCCACGAAAAGGTGGAGTCTAATGCTCCTGACAAGTAGAATGTGACCAAAGGGATGCTGTGCGACTCCCAAAGCTAAGTTATAAAAGGGGACACGACGGCTTTTGGGACACATGCTTCTGGAGCCCTAGAGTAGCCGCCACGCTGGAGAGCCCATGTGGAGAAGCTGTATGTAAAGAGAAACGCCTGAGGAATCCCAGCTGCGCCTGCCCCCAGCTACTGCAGTCGTCCCAGCACCACCACCAGACGTGCCAGGGAGCGAGCCTGCAAATGATAGCCCCAGCTGCAAGGTGCCTCAGCCAAGGGGACGCAGATGCGCTGTCCCCACAGGAGGTTCCAGCCACCAGGAAGCCAAAAAGGAGTAAAAGTATGAGGCACAGGGAGGATTTAAAACTCCTTATTTACAGGCGATATGGTGAAGCACTTAGTTTTTCAGTTGATCGTGTTGGATTTTCTATTTGAATTAATGAGTGAATGCAGCAAGACCACTAGAAAAGACAATATTTTAAAAAACAAGGTAAATCACAGCATAAGGAATGTAGTCAATAATATTGTAATAACTGTAAGATGTCAGATGGGTACTAGACTTATTGGGATGATCACAAGGTATATAAATGTCTAATCACTATGTTACACACCTGAAACAATATTGTATGTCAGCTATAATTTTTTTTAAAAAGTTAAATAAAAACTAATTGTGTTTCTGTAGAGCAACAACAACCAATTATAATTTTTTAAATGATACATTTTACAATGTTACAAAAAACATTTAATATCTAAGAGAATATCTAAAGAAATACTGTATCTTCTGATATCAAAGCCCATGACATCTCTTTATGCTACAGCTGAAACTAAGATGCAAATTGATCTACAAAAGCTTTTGAAATGAAGTGAAACAGAAAATGCTATGATACAAACATCAGCTAATCATAAAAACAAAAATATGTTTGAGCTAGAAGGAAATGGGTTTACGACCCAATTTATTTGTTATCCAGGTGAGGAAGCTAATGACATATAGCTTCTAATTTCATGGTCCTTCATCTTCAATGATGCTGAGTATAAAACATAGTAAAAAAACAAGTCTCTAAAATAAAACAGAATACACCCCTTCCTGACAAAGAGAAAGTCCCATTTGTGGGTTAGTAGAAAGCTTCTGCTCGAAACGTTTATTTCGCATTTTAAACCATCTGGCCTCTGCTGCCTGGTAGAATTATGAATTTTTTATAAGTAAATTTCTGCTGCTGTTCAACCAGAGCATGCTACCTGGAATCACCCGGGTGAGAAGCA